ATTGTAGCATTTTTGTTATATTATTATTATTAAATGAAAGCGATAAAATTGAAAATGTATAAATAGCAGCTTACATAGTTGTTGTTGGTTCTTAACTGCTGCTATTTTCGTACTTTAATGCTATTTGCATAATTATTAGTTCACACGAAAGTATTTGTATTATTCATAAGCAAACAGGTACCACAATAATTAACTTTTTTACATTATTTTGATAAAAAGCAATTACAGAAATATATAACAAAAATAACTTAGCTAATAGATTTAATTATTCTAAAAAGTTTTGAAAAAAATTTACTTTTAGTGAAAACTACTGCAAATTATTACTTATTAAAATATACAATTATACAGTTGTGATCTGTGATACTTACAATAATCTACTTTCCGGTTGATTACGGATAATGCAACAGTAATTTATTAACATATAATGTATGAGAGTTTCTCAGATATTAAAATTTCAAATTTTTAATTTTTAACAAAAGTTCAATAAATTTCAAAAATAAAAATTTATTTTAAATATTTGCTAAATGTAAAATTTGATCAGAACAATCCCACTTTGGTGATATTATTAGTTAAACTGACATTCAGCTCGATCTTATTTATTTTTCTTCTTTCGTTAAAAGGTTGAATGCGAATAGATTATAGTGTAATAAAAGTTCCATATTTGCCTATATATCTTAGATTGATAAGATGAAATACGGCAAAAGGTTAAAGGCCAGTGAAGAAATTTTGCCAAATACTTTCATCGATATAATATGTCAAAGATGATTAACGATAACAAATCCATACCTCCAAGTAAAGGTAAGAAGATCAGACAGATAAATTAATGAGTGAAAATTAAAGACTGGTAAACAAGTAGATATTTGGCATCAGTCAAACTCATACTAATTAGACACTACTACGAACTATGCTGGATTTTGTTATAATTATGAAAAGGGATATTATCATTATTATTATCGTTATTATGAAGCAATTATTTATTGTAATTATTATTATTATCATCAATGTTGTCAATATGAATGAAGATCAGTCAGTTTTTTCAATCAATAATAATTATCTATGCATAAATTAGATAAAAACTGTTTAATAAGCAATTTATGGAATATACAGATCTGATTGTATTTTTGATTCATAAAAAAGAAAGAAAGAATTTTTAAGTGAAGATAAATTGATCCCTGTTTGCTTAACTTTCTTTTGGTAAAAAAAAAAGAAAAATCGTTTATCATGCAATCCAGTAAGGCACATTCGAACTTTGACCTTCAAAAAGTCTACACTATGTATTGGTAGTAATGGAAAAGGAGATTTTTGAGAATTTTTCCAAATCATTATCATCATCTGCACAGGTCTCCTTGTCCTTCTTGCCATCTTTGAGGTGACCTTGACAAACTTTGCCCCTCCAAAAAAGACATACAGGCAACACTGCGCAATAATTTAACGAATCACACAGTAAAAAGCCAGCAATTGGATTCAAAGGTATTTATGTGTATAAAATAATTTGCAGCCTTCAAGATCTAGACTTGGTGGTAATTTCTGAACTAATTCTTACAAACATTACTTACTTTATAAGGATAATTTTAGATTTACTTAGTTAATGCAAAGGATATAAAACTTAAATACAATATTACTTAAATTATATTCGAGTTAATACCACGTATATTACATTACAGGTAAAATATATTTCACCTGCATAAAACTCAAATACATAGTATAGCATTAAGTATTTAATTTCAAATACTGAGCAATTCAGGTTGTAAAATACCTGCAAATACATGCTGATGATGTGTTATCAGATAATTTGCTGAAAACTAATGACTTGAAAAAATAATCTTGCACTCACCAGAACTTTTCCAGTTTTCTATTGCTTTTGTGTGTGTTTTTTTGTCAATTAGATATGCATGTATGCATATCTAAATCTGCTCTAATAAATTATACTACACGCAAAATTTTACGCTATAAAATTTAACAAAATAAAAACCTTTTTTATCCTTTATGCTAATTTATACTAGATCAGATCATAATTGATGTATTACAAAATTGATCAATGAATTAAATTAACTTAAAATACAATTATTAAATACAAATTATTTTCAATGTATCAAAAATATCTAATAAAAATATAGCAATAAACTTTTTTTAACTTCAAAATTTTCAAAAAACTTATTGCAAATCATATTGTACTTGTTGATTTTCATTGAATAATTTCATCTTTTTTTTTTAAATGTGAAATTGTTAAAAATAATTTTTACATTTGTATTTGCATTTACCCTTAACTTTTTTTTTTCTTTCACAAAGAAATAAAAAACGGGTCTGCGCATCTAATCTATCTATCCTTCGAAGCACATTCAAGGATAAATGCATGAATGGGTTAAGGTATGAGTCGCTTCGCTTGTCATTTTCACTTTATCATCATCTCAGATCGCGTAGATCACCTTTGGCTCACCTTGAAAAATGATTGGTAACATACAAAGTCTTCCTCTTCATCCTTTCACATTTCTCAAAAACCATTTCATACACAACACACACACACACATACACATACACATACACACATACACACATACACGTAAATTTACATACACACATATAATCACATATCTAAATTTAATTTAAGACAAACAAAAATTTTTGTATCTAGCGGACAGTAACATATCATACAAGCATAAACTCACATTATTATTATAATATTTATAACAACTTTTGAGTTACAGTTAAATACTTAACTAAATATGATTATAATCAGTGATATATTCTTTTAGGGGAAAGTATTTATCAGCAGACAACAGCTATGTGTAGACGTACAAACGCTCTCAATCACATACAAAATTTGAAAGCATAAACAAACGCACACGCATAATTTGAGAATACGGACAGAGATTAGCAACTAAATTCTTGTCACATACACAAATAGTCATCTTAATTTATGATTTGTATATATATGCAAATATATCTAATTTTATATCTATACACACATCTAAGTTAAAAGTGAGTGTGTTTAAATTTAATCTGTAATAAGCTTAAATATCATTTTGCATTTGCAGTGCGAATTTTCGCAAACACTAGAAGATAACAATGTATATGTACAGTATGAAATAAACATGTGATTTAACAGTACTTTTATGGATGAGCTAAAAAAAAATAAATAAAAATTCGACCTTTGCCTTTTTTAGAAAATTTTCAAAAAATGAAAATTGGATGCACTCAAAGTGAACGGTAAAATGGTGTGTCTTCTTAGATTTATCGTAGACATACACACATTAATTCATACATACCAGTTTTAGTGTTATGTATTAAGCAATGTGTTATGTACAAGTTCAAATCTGTTGCAGTCATCACATCACATCACATCACATATACGAACATACACTCACATACATTAACATATACATACATAATGTCAAGGAAATAACTCGTTAAAGATATTTTTTTTCAAGGGCATTTTAACAAACATTCTACGTCTGATGTGATACTGGAATCACGACGAGAGGATGAGAATCGGATTGCAATTGTGAAGTTCAGTGAAAGTGAAATGATAATAATGCTTCTTATCTCACAACGGTAGTAAGACTGTGATCAAAATTAACTACTCGATTATTGTTAAAGCACAAATTTTATAAAATACTACCCTTGTGATTTGTAGAATCACTAAAATAATTAATCATGCGTACGTTAAAAAGGGGCTCAAAAATACAAACTTGATTAAATATTTAAATGTTACTATTACTGATATCTACGAAAATTATGATAATATAAAACAAAGTGCCAAAATTTTTGAGTAATATATTATGATTATGCTGACAAGTTATCATGATTTTGACAATTTTACTGATCAAAATGTAGCTAATTAGAAATCGATACTTGCTAATAAGTCAAATATTGAAAAATCTTGCTTTCTTTATGCTTTTCTTTGATTAAAAGTGAAAAATATGAAAAGAAATACCAGAATTTTAATTATATCACTTTTAAAATATCAAGTTTGTAATTGTAATGGTGTGTAGCAAGCAGAAATCTTTCGTTTTTAAATAAATGATAAATGTTTTCAAGAATTGATGACTGATAGATAATGTAGGCATTAAGTGAAAGGAAAAAAGTTCTCCTTTGATACTGTTAAAAATGTCAATTGAAGAAAATCATATTTTTTTAAAATACATGACCCAAATAATTACGTGCTACGTACTTTTTGCAAAAATATTAAAAGCAAGTATTAGAGTTGAAAAAATTTGCATATATATATATGCAAATTTAATACTTCAACGTAAGTATAATAAAAATTCAACGTAAGTATATATATATATATACTTACGTTGAATTTTTTATTTTTTCAGATTACTAGCAATAAACGATTAGTTTTCAAATGTAAAACAATTTAAAACGTGACGAAGAAGTATTCGTCAATAAGAAATCAAACAAATCGCAACTGAACTAACGAAATTAAATAGAAAACACTTGGTTACTAAGTTAACTGATCAAAAATTAAATAAGTGATCAAAAAATTTAAAAAGTATAATGTAATTAAAACGATTATATTTCGTTTGAATCAGTATTAAAATTAATTTTAAATAATTGCAAATAAATATGGATAAAGAAATAGTGAAAATAGATGAAATTGGGAATCTTAAATGAATAAAAAAAACAAAAAATTAATAAAGTGAAATTAAATATGAAAAAATTTAAAAATAGCTTAAGGCGCCAATGAATTCGATTTAAAAATGTTTGCGTTTAGAAATGATATCAACAAATGCAAAGTTCAAAAACAGTAAGTGTATTATCAAAAGTAAATTTTAAACTGCAAAACAGAAATGAGATTTAGTTTCCTAATCGAGACTTCCATTTTCTTAATATATGTAAATGCATATGTATGTAAGAAGAAACCAGAGCAAATCAGAAATCCCAGTTAATCTAAGCTTGGATTATTTGCCATTGAAAATAACTAAATATGCCAGTAAACCTTCTAACTTCAAAATTTGTATGGGATTAAAGTGGATGAATGGATATCCAACTAGATAAATAATAGAAATCGTTTACTTATAGAATTTAAAAATTTATGCAGGAAAGTTTGTAATCTTTCCAAGCTTACAATAGCTAAGTAAGCCTTTCATAAAACATAATTTGATAGGTCCTCATCCTGGCTTTATTTTTTGAATTTTTGATAATATAGTTCAATCTTAATATCATTATTATTCACATAAATAAATTAGTACAACAAAAATATAAACTATTTTTATTGATATCATAATTTTAATCTGTAATATTCAAAAAAATTGAATAAAAAAAGAAAACCTTTAGAATTTACTGCTAATTGTGGCATACCCAAAGCACTTAATACAGTATCAACTAGTTGACTGAGCAACGTGGCACCGGAAACAATAGCGTAAGAATCAACTAGCATATGGCCATCACGTGCACACGTGAGGCAATGTTGTGGTCGAACAGATTCAACCACTACACGCACCGGAAACATATTCATTGCGAGCAGGATATTAGATCCTTCTTCTGAGTAATGCTTATAATTAGGCAGACTCAGCTTTGTTAACTGCTGCAAAAGTATAATTTATTGAATGTTAATACTATTGTAATTGCCAGGAGAGATCACAAACCACAATTATTACTATGATTTAACCAATCACTGTCTTTACAATTTAAAATCTTTATTCACAATAATGGAAAATAGTACAAAAACAGAATTTCAAGTTGGTAAACACAGCACATGGTTTACCGAAAAAGTATTGTCAGTAGCAACGTATTAGACTGTAAAATTATTTTATCTTTACAGTTACTGCTATCAATGCTGATATCATCATTATTTTTTCAATTATAAATACTCTGACTTTTATTTATTCGCCAAATCCAAGTGTTTACTGATAATAATCATTACTACCATTACTGTTGTCAACACATTAAATTTTAACTTATTTCAGTACTGTAAACTCACAATATAATTCATAAACAAAAAAAACTCGCGTATTAAAAAATACTTACTTAAGTTAGCGTATATGTACTCTTACTTATATCAGTATAAATATACTCAAAGAAGTAAGAAAAACATATCGAATTGTGTCTACCAAAAGTTGAAGAGATAAGTACGTAAGTCGAATAAATAAATGAATGATAAGACGACAACAAATTCAATGCTCAATATCAGTGCAGATAACAATAAATGTGTATATTTTTCAGCTGCCCGATTTTTTTTCCTGAAAATATATTAAAGTATAAAATTTTTTATTCTTTTGAAGATATTTATTCGTATTTATTTATTCTAAAACGACACGTTTTCTACGTATTTTATGTTGTAATCAGTTAGTAAATAACCTTTTCGAATAACACTGTCATTATCATCAATACTTTTTGCATCATATTTGTCAATGTCATTATTGTTGTTGTTATTTAATTGTAATTTTAGTACTTTTTAAAATTATTTATAATCAATTAAATAAGTAATAATGTATTTGATTTCTTTTAGTTTAGCACTTTAGTCAATTTAAGTTCTAATTTGCCACAGTACATGTTCATCAACAATAATCAACTAAAAAATGCAATTAAAAGGATTTCGAGTTTTTTAATAAATTGCTTTATTATTCTCATTTATTTCTGTTTAGTCTTCTTATTTTACAACCTAAGAATTTTTACAAAGTGTGACTGCGATTTTCTCTATTATAAATCTTTACTTCAGATTACTGATCTCATAACTGATAAACTATCATATTTTCTAAACAAATCAAGTTATCTAATTCAAAAAAACATGATCTGTTAAATAAAAAAAAAACTTTTGACAACTGGTAGTTTTAAAAAATTACAAATATATTATAACTGTAAAAGTCGTTTGCAAATGTAAAATTTGAAATCCAAATATGCTAAAAATTATGTTTTATTTACAATTATGTCCAACTTTTCAAATATTTATCAAACTTAGATCCGACAAATAATTAATGATATTAATAAAAAGTATAAATAAACAGTTATCATACAAGTCGAGCTTTGATCTTTTGATCTGTTATACATGTTGAATAATGATTATAAGAAATCAGCAATTGCTAGTTGAATGAAAAAGGTTGTGGAATATACCAACGGAAATCCTCAGCAAAATAAAAAACTACCACAATTATTTGTTTCAAACAATTCAAACAACTCAAAAATTGATCATTTGGAAAAGATAAATGAGTATTTATGCCTGAAAGTTTTTCTTGATATTACGATTTTTCAATGATAGTCTAAAATTATTAATAATTTTCTGCTTTATTTTACTCAAAATTTTAACCACGTAAAAAAATGAAAAAATATAGAATAAACAAGCATAATTAAAGGTCATAAATAAACGTCATTGCGTAACTCTTTTTACTTTTACTATGAAAATTAAATCATAATGTAAATTAATTAGTTATGACATAAGTATTTAACCTATAAAAACAACGAGTATGTGTTATTTGAGACAAAAAAGAATTTTGCACAGTAGAGTTGATGATAATTCTTGCTTGGCCTGATTAGTAGTTAAGGTCAAGTGGATGACCTTAAGAAAAGAATGTCACTACTTGAGTCCATAAAGAGAGTAGAATTAGATGAGATGGCACATTTATTTGGACGTTGTTAGCTTGACAAAATAAAATATTATCGTAATCGATTGCAATTAAAAATGCAAGCTTTCGTGAGTTGAGAAGCAGCAGAAGCTGCTGCTTCTGTTACTGCTTCTTAACTGATAAAAATGATAAGATTATCAGTGCGATAGGAAGAAACAAAAAGTGTATGAAAAAGAATGAGAATAAGAATAAGAGGAGGTGTAGTCCCGACCAGCTCAAAGCTATCCGATCGCCTACTGGCTGGTTGGCTCCTTCCATCCGCCATACCCCTTTTTCTCTTCCGTCTCATTCTTTGCTTACTTTCTCTTTGCCAGACAATGAGAAATGATGAGCCATCTAGCCCCGCCTACAAGATATGAAGCCTCAAAGATTAATTTCATTGGCTTAAATTTCTATTGCTGGCCACGCCTAAAAAATGATACCAATGGATTTGAGTGCTTAGCAAGTGATGATGAAGTCAGAAAATTCATATACTGTGTTATTTCACGTTACCGTAATCTCAAGTACAACTTTTTTTTTCCCGCATTATTTGTTTCATTTACTCATAAAATATCACACAAATTTAAATATCATCAAAAGTTTTAGTTTAATTCAAATTTTTTGTGTTTCAAAAAAAAAAAAAACATCGCCAGAAGTATCGTGCAAAATAGGACACTGCGTAACATAACATGTAAAATTTCTATGACAAAATATTACAATGATAAAAACGTCTTAAAAAACTTATCAAAAAGCATTAATTACTTGATGCACTCTATAATTAAAACTTATAATTTCAAGCTTTGAAAGGTTTCCTCCTCGCGCCTCCCAAAAAAAAGCAACTGAAATGAACTGAAAAGAGAAAGTTTTGTGCTGAAAAAGAAATAAATGTTAGTTCATAGTATTTACGTAATACCAAGCTTTTACTTGTTGTTGTTGTTGTTGTGTTACAAGAAAAGTTGACTGAAAGAAAGAGAGATGAAATGAAGAAATGTGACATTTGCAGAGTTGTCACATCAATGGATGCATGAATAAATGAATGAATAGTTCTGCTTTAACAATTATGTCATTTTGCTAATAAATAAGATGTGACGAGTTAAAAGTACAGTTAAAAATATCACGTAAGGTCATATGAAAAAAATTAATAGCAATAAAAAGTGAATTAAAAAAAATTATAAACAAAAATTACAAAAATAATATGAAAAAAAAAAGAAAGAGAAATTAGGCAAATATTGTAGAATAGATTTATTGAAGAAATGAATTGTGAATTGTTGCCATTGGTTGATTTTGATAGCATACAAAATAAATAGGATGATAGAGTAATCAGATGATTTAGTGACTAAATGACTAACAGATTGATTAACTTGCTGATTGGTTAACTTAATGATCAAATAATAAATGATTGCTTTTAAAAAGTAATAACAAAATAAATGTATGAAAAGAAAAAAGTGAAAAAGACAAACGAAGAAAAGTTAAAAGGTTGATTTGGCTGCCACTATAAATAAATTCCACTAAACAACTAACTAAGAAGCAAAAAAGGTAAAAAGATAAGCAAAGCACAGGTGAGGTGAGCGATGCAAAGCAAAAACGATAAACCACATACACACAGACGACATACACTGACATACACATGCATACATAAACATACACTAACATACACACACATAGATAGATAGATAGATAGATTGATAGATAGATTGATAGATAGATAGATAGATAGATAGATAGATAGATAGATACAGAGATAGATTGATAGAACTGGTTTTCAACGGATTGGAACAAAAATTTTTCAAGAGAAGACGATGAAGAGCAACAAGTGGAAATTGAAAAGGAAATGAATGAATGAATGAATGAATGAATAAGTGAAAGAATGAATGAATAAGTGAATAAATGAAAGGATGAATGAATGAATGAATGAATGAGTGAGTGAGTGAGTGAGTGCGTGAAGGTGAAAGCCGCTTTTTACGTGCTGAACCCATCCTATCCATATTCATATATATATATATATTTTACATATAACACAATTTAACACATCACATCACATCACATCACATCACATTTACATATACATATAAATATTACACGTACACAAAGCTTTATACAATTTCAGATTTTCTATTTATCAATAATGTTTTTGTTGATGATGACGACAAACACAGTAATACTGATAATATTTTTATTAGTATTACTGTCATTGTTGTCATTATTCTTGCCATCAATAAATGAAAAATCTGAAAATGTCGGCATAAGAAAAAATAAAACTTATAACGATGACAGTAATACTGATAATAATAATGATATTCACAAATTCAATAATAATATCACCGATGATAATAGTGATTAGCATGGAAGTCAATATTTTGTAATATTGATTATCATGATATTCAACATTATTCCGCAATCTCCAAGAATACTAGTACTAACACAATTATCATAATCACAATGATAAATCATACAACTTTAATATGATACACTACTATGATCATGGAAAATACTAATGGTAGCAATAATGAAGATAAAGTGAAATTTCAATAATATTAGTCATCATTAATCGTATTATGGATAATGCCAATAAATGTGATAATAAATGCAACGGCTAAAGTTATGGTACTACAAAATACTACGATTACATCTAACGTCATAGCATTACGTGAACTGATAGATTTGAAGATAAAAATAATAATGATAATGAGAATAATACTAAGATATTTATGCCAATAGTTAAAGTGATAATGGCATGAAATATTATATTTAATTCGTAATTTTTGCTCGTTATTTTTGCAATCAGCAAATATTGGAGACAATAATAACAATAATAATGAAAATAGCGTTGACTGCAATGACGCTGAAAAGTATTTGAAAAGTGATGATTATATGAATGCTTACCAGCATCTTCCGCAAATTCCACGATGCG